CATTGTCGATAGCTTTTTATTCATAAAAGTTTGTCTAAAACAAAAAATAATAACATATTCTGGAGGCGCTTGGCGAGCTCTACATGTCTAGCTAAAAACATAATTTAAAAAAATTGCAATAGAATAAAGAAAAACTGATCTTCTTCGAGCAGGTGGCTTTAGAAGCTAGATATTTTACACGGTTACTATGATACCTCATAAACTAAAAGAGATGGAAATCTGATTTTTTTTTCATAAGTGAATGGTCATCTCTAAACCTATAAAACAAGAAAAAAATTATCAAAATCAGTTGAATGAAACTGAACTTATAGACATTTTTCTTTGCGAGATCCAACGATACAATTGGCGCGCTCCTCACTCATATATACATAACAGCTCGAAATAAATTACATTAGTTTTGTTTTATCTTTACATACAGACAGTTAAAATAATATTATAGAAACATATTATTAAAAAAAAGAAAGAGAAGAATAACAATAATTTATCGAGATTTTCCTTTTCGGAGGGTGAATATCTATTTTTGGAAACATAAACACATACAATAATCATAAATTTCATGATAGCTAATTCGATTTTTGGAAGGATGCTGTTTCTTCCGCTGTCAACTTGAATAAAATATTGACGAGTAAAATTTCTCAATTATAAAAATCCATATTGTTGATAAATAACTAATTGATTTTCTTCAAAACAGTCAAATCAATTATTTGTTCTATGTTAATTTTGTTTTTCTTCTTCTTATTCTATTATTAGAATGGATTTACTTGCTGGTATTAGTTTATATGAAGATTTAGCAATGTATGAACATGAAGTAACATTCCAGTAAAGAAAATTTTTATTGATCTCTTTTCTTATCAATAATTCTTTTATTTTTATATATGTAGTGATGAAGAAAAACGAAAAATGTGTCATTCAACTAGTGTAAAAAATTTGCACTATTCTCTAACACATCCAACATTGAATATAGATCAAGTAGAAATTCATGATTTAATGTCATGTTTATTAGATAAAATTGATAAAGAATTAAATCCTTCATCGATATCAAATGAAACATATAAGTTATTTGATGCAGCATCAATTAATAAACGTCAAATATCATTGAATTCAACGGATAATAATTATAATGATGAAACATTTCTTCCAATATCAACAAATGATAATTTTTTAGATGATTCATTACAATATTCAAATGATTTATTTCAACCACTTGATGATTATAAACATTCAATTGGAATTTTACTTAATGATGATGATGATGATAAAAATGTAAATATAGCTTTTAATCGAATACCATCACGTAAGTTTTTTTTTTGTTTGAATTGAATAAATATATTTTACAAAAAAAAATACCATATAAAGAAATTTCTCATGTCTTCGATTGGACACGATTCAGACGTGCTGTAAAGATAAAGAGTACGTTATTGTTGCTGCTGCTGGGTACTTCCTTTGTTATTATTTTTTCATTTTCAAGAAAATGAAAAAAAAAAACAACAGATTAATTATTTTATTTTTAGAGGGATGTGTTTTGAAAAATTATGTACCACTTGATCAATTTAATAAACGTTTTGGTGAAATTGATGGTAATTTTCTTTTGTTGTTGTTCTTTTATTTATTTATTTTTTTCATGCAGAATTATTACGTAAACAACAAGAAAATTATTTTGCACCACATCGTATTGAAATACCTTATTATTTATGTATAAAAACAAGTATACATACACATGATATACCATCATTATATGCAAGACAATATAAGAAGAATACTGATAAATTTAATGATAATGTTTATGGAAGAAAACAACTTAAAAATGAATATTGGTTTTCTATACCTAAAGAGAAGTAAGATATCAATCATATTTTATTTAGAAATTTTTTTTTTTTTTGTATGAACAAAAGAGATTATTGAAATACAATGTGGAAACTTCAGTAATAAAAAGAAGAAAAAAAAAAAAGGATAATAGATATTGTAAATTCTATTAACAAGTTTAGAAATTTAATGTGATAACTGTAAGATTCTTTATACAATAGGTGACAAAAATATTTTTAACACTTTTTGTGTCTTCTATTTTATTGGTAAAATAAAAGTTGTTATTCTTATATTAGTATTCTAGTAGTTATGCATACAGGAAACATACAATAAGTGGTTTGATTAATGACAAATTAATAGAATATGAAGTTTTGTTACATTTCAAAAGATAAACGGGTAGGACATAATAAATGTTTGCATTTTGCATTGCAATTTTTTCATCACTTAATACATTGTATAATTTTAAAAAAATCAAATATACCATAAGATACAGCATGAAAGTTCTACAATTTACAAAGAACAGCTTACTTTATATATATTCACATTTTATTTTGAAAATGGACAAACTTCTATGAGACCAATTTTTGACACTGGAAACAAGATCATTTATTAATTGGAACACATATCGATAAGTCTAAATTCGGCCATCGATTATGATCTTCCATATTAACCGAAGCAATAGCAAAAGAAATTTGTTGTGTACCAATAAATGATCTTGTTCGTAGTGTCGAAAATTGCTGCTCGCATAGAAGTTTATCCGTTTGCAAAACAAAAGATGTATATATAAAATAAGCTGTTCTTTATAAATTGTAGAGCTTTTCATGCTGCATCTGGTGGTTTTTTTTCAATACAACGCGTTAAATAATGAAAAAATGAAATGCAAAATGCGGACATTTATTATGTTCCATCCGTTTATTTTATGAAATGAGACAAAACTTCACATTTTATTAATTTTCCATTAATCAAGCCACTTATTGTATGTTTCCTGTATGCATAACTACTAGAATACTAATATAAGAATAACAACTTTTATTTTATCAATAAAATAGAAGACAAAAAAAGTGTTAAAAATACTTTTATCGTCTACTGTATTTCGAAATATTAAGAAGAACTTCATGTTAGTGACAAGAAGGCTTAAATAATAGATAATTTATTTTTTAATAATATCTTTTAAAGTTTGTTGAAAATTACAATGAAAATTTTCATGTTTTCCTAAATGGAGATATTATTTTTAAAATTCTGTTTTTTTTTTCTTTGAACAAGAATTTTAATTCATCAATCAAAAAGAAAAACTGTTAGCGCAATCTCTTTTGGATTAAAATGTGAAACACGATGTCCTATTATTGCTAATTACACGAATATTCTTCTACATGATCTATTTTGGAGACGCAGTTTTCCATTATCGTTTAATTAATCTTCTAGAATTGTCATAAGAAAGTATTTCATATATTTTAATGAGATGTTAGTGATATATGGTCTTATCAGAAACGTGCATAAAGATCAGTGATGGTCTCCGAAGGCCATCTATCATGGTTTATGGGAAGCCGGAGGCGGGAGGGGGAGAGGTGGCTGCAAATTTTTACTCTATGTACTTCAACACTCTTTTTAGATTGTGTTTCACAAAAGATAGTTTAAGAAAAATACAAGCAGGTCACGATGAGCCCTAAGAGGATTCATGTTTCCGACCATTTCTTACCAAGTTACAATTTCTTCTCTTGGGCTCGCAATTTGATTCTTTTTATATAGCTGAAATCCCGGTAAAATGAGTCTAACTCAGCTAAGAATGGCCAGCAGCATGAATTCTCTTAGACTTCTAGGTGTTGCATCGTGACTGGCTTGTAGGTAAAGTAGCAACACGAAACTTGATTATCACTTGGGAATGTCAGCTCATGAATTAATAACAGATTTGATATCAATGTAGGTTTTTTGAAGAACTACAACAACAATATTTTATCATCAATCCATGTTATACTTTTCTCATTTCTAATATATTGTTTTAAGCAGATTTCAAGTTGTGAATGGACTTAATAATAAATGAAATGACTGAGATTTAAATTTCAAAACACTGTCGTATAACCTAAGTAATGAAGACAGATACTAAAGAAATTGATTCAAAAACGAATATAAATCATTTCAAGTTATCGATATATTTGTTCGATATTGATTCACTTGTCAAAGCTTATTTTCGGACAGTAATGATACTCAGAACAGAATAAAATCGATTACACTATGTTTCAATAAAATCTTTTTCTTTCAGGTAGAATTTTTTTTCTCAAAGGAACTACTCGTACTGTCTGAACTCATATCGGGTCTACAAGAACGTTTTGATGAGACTAGCAAAAGTCTAAAAAGGTTCGTCCCCATTAACCTTTTGAGTCGAGTTAAGATCATTTTATTGGAAAATCATATAATGGAATTTTTGTTCATAGATGCGTCTAAGAAAATATTAATTCTTCTTCGTTATTTTTTTAAAACTTTATCTCATTTAATTTTTGAATAAAAATTACTTTTGTTATTAGAACTGATCCTCTACATGCATTTTTTCTTCGTTGGACTCCTGAACGTGCATTAGATCCATTAATTGATGATGATAAACAACCGTCAAATATTGATCCAACAAAATCGAATAATCAATCTTCAAATAAAGGTTTTGTTTTATTAACTGATGATAATAATTCTCAATTACCTAATGATTATTCAACACATCAAAATTTAAAAAATCAAATAACAAAAATTAATGAACAACTAAAACGACCTCATTATTTATCACGACAAAATACATTGCTTAAAGATTGGGAGGTAAGAATAGAAATTTTCTAGATCATATAAAAGAAAAAGAAAAGAAAACGATTTCTTTTAATATAAGACATCTAAATATTAAAAAAAATTATAAACTTATTTTTCGTTTAAATATTATCAAATAATGAATGAGTTTATTAATATGATTTATAAACAATAAAAATCATATTTTGTGTTTTGTATTCTATTTTACTTTTAAAGGTAAATCTTAATGTCTATTTTTTCAATGACGTTTTAATCTTTAGGATTGTTAATTTATTTGGAATACTTTCTTTTTTATTTTGACCTATTTCAGTGACATGTATGTTAATGTTATTGTTATTGGTACCACTTTTTTTTTTGTTTTTTTGTCTAACAGAAATTGATTTATAAAAAGGAATTAATAGTTTTTTTTGTTAATGGATCTATTTGAATGAAAAATACATTTATACATTCTAGTTGTTTGTGTCAAAACACAAATTAAATTTGAGTGGCATATAGTCTTGAATATGGAAATTGAATAAGAGAAATTCAATTATTAATTTTATTACCATAAATTCTAAAACTAATGATCATCAACACTTCAATCGAGAGTCATTGATTGCTTGTATGTTTTTTTTTGGTTTTGTACTATTAACGTTCGTAGTAGTATGTCAATAAACGTGATTTTAAAGTAGTATGTTAAGGATTGATGACAAAAGAATGTAGAACAGCAAGAATGTTTTGTTAGTATATGGATCAAACAAAGCATAGGTATATTAACAGAAATCTACGTTGTCATCTTGTTCTTGTATTTCATTCATGGATTATATTACGCTATAGCGTACCTTGATCCATATATCTATCTTATTATGATACTTTTTGTTTTTTTTAGTTAGAAGCCATTAATATATTTACTAATTATTAAAAATTTAATATCCAACAAAAAAAAATTCACTATTTTATTCTCTTTTTATTTAATGTCTTTTCTTTTTCTCTCTCTCTCTTTCTTTTCAACATAATCATATGTGTCCTCTGATGTAGTGTGGCGATGGAAGACGAGATAGAAGAATAAAGAATAACATACGCACACGCAACTACTACTCAAAGGATTGGTAGAAACATAAATAGGACGAGAGAGAGAGAGAAGCTCAAATAGTCTTTCTCTCTCGCTCTCTAGTTGTAGTACCCTATAACTATAATAGTATAACACTAGAAGAACAAATTTAAGTATGATTCGTGCTTTATCTACAACAACATCAAATACTTCATGTACATCATCTAATGAATCTCAAATATCATCGCCATCATCATCATCATCTCGTACACGTCGTTTTACTCTTCATTCATTAGCAACACGTTTATCAGATTCAAAAAAAAATTTTCTTGAACAAATTCCTCATCATCAACAACAATTAACACGTTTTAGAAAACGTGCTAGAAGTTTTTTAATATCAACATTAAATGATCATTCAACACATATTCGTTCATCTTCATCTGATGGACGACATTCTACTCCTGGGGTACATAACAAAAAAAAAAAAAAAGAAACATATAGAATAATTTATTGAAGTTTATTTAAGACAAGATATTTACATAAAGATTATTTTATTTATTTAGATTATCAGTGTCGATGAAATTTACCGACGTATTGGTTCAACACAAGTACATCACACACATGACTATGATATTGGTATTCCAGCACCTAAACTTCTTCAACCTTCAACACTTATCAATGAAGAACAATCAAAACAAGTATATTGAATAAATTTTTATTTTTGAAATTTTTCTAAAAAAAAACATTTTTGTTTTTTGTAATTTTAAGATTTTACTTCAATTACCAGCTCGTGTACATGCTCTTAATTGGTATTTAATATTTAGTACAGAAGCACATGGATATAGTTTAAATCAATTATATCGTCGATCATTAGAAGTTGATCATGATACACCATCGCTAATAATTATAAAAGATGTTGAACAAAATGTAAAAAACAAACATTTTCTTTTTTTTGAAATATACTTTTTTTTTTTTTTTTTTTTCGTATGATTAGATATTTGGTGCTTTTACATCTCATCAATTAATAGTTAGTGAAGGTTTCTATGGTACAGGAGAATCATTTCTCTTTACACTTCATCCTGAATTTCGAGTAAGAATATACAATTGAAAGAAATTGCGCATGAACATAAATAGAAAATGAATGTATCAAGAGAACAACCACCTATTGGTACTAATTGACATCGCTGTGTTTAAAACAATCCCTCTTCCGTTTTTTCAATTATTTTGTTCTTGTTTTTCTTTTTTCCGTATAGAATAGTTCAAATAGTAGTTTCCTGAAAACAAAATCTTGAGTATCTTCATCATACTTTGACTAAATTGATTGCTTTATTCAATGTTAATAAAAAAAAAAGAAGTAGTGTTCATTATAATCGTAAGAAAAAAAACGATCAATGAGAACTATGATCTTAAAGTATGCAATTTTAACATGAGAATAAATCTGTACTCTTTAGCTTGTTATGAAAAACCAATAACGTTATGTTAATAATTTAACTTGTTTATTAACTAAACATTTCAAATTACATTTATTTAAGAAGACTTGTTTACAATAAAAGTTTAAGGTGACACTACAATTCTCTGAGACGTGTTGATTTGAACTATTGTGTACAATTTATTCGTGACTAAAAGAATAAACATGTTGTTTTTCCGAAACACATTAAGATTATAGTTTACACGGATAATCAAAAATAATGCTTCAAGACAATATTTTTTACCTGTTCTTTTATAAGTTATAAGTATTTGTTGATAAGCCGTGAAAAAAATAATCCGATGAATTAAAGTATGATGGAGATTCTGAATGAAAGAAACTTTTGCATCATTATTTATTTTATTTGATTGAACTGATGAGAACATTTTATTGAACGACTCATTTAGTTATAAATTATAACGCGTTAAAAACCTCTTCATATTTTATTAACATAGAACAATTAAAAGTTGTTAGACGAGTATTAATCGTTTATGTTTTGATGGAACAAGTCTGGGTAATTATATCAATTTTTTTGTCTATTTTAGGTGTTCAATTGGTCAGGTTATAATGAATTTTTTGTTAAAGGTGATCTTCATTCAATTGGATTTGGAAGTGGAGAGTAAGTCTTTTTTTTGTTATAGTGTTTCTTTTTTTTTATTAACTTCCTTTGATACTACTCTAGAGGTACTTATGGTTTATGGCTTGATGCTGATTTATATCATGGTCGTACTTGTTCAACTAAAACATTCAATAATGAACCATTAACAACAAATGAAGATTTTATAATTGCGAGTATTGAAGTTTGGACATTTATTGATTAATAATTATTCTTTCGTTATTTCTTTCTTAAATGTAACAACAAACCTGATCATCATATAAACAGTATTTCAGCTTTTTTGATTATCATATACTTGTCGTTTTTTCTTTCTTTATTATTATTATTAATTCCCTTCTATTAAGCCAATGACATGAAGAGAGTATATTTGTGCTTCTATTTATTTTTATCTGTAAATACTTTATTATTATCTATGGAACAAATTATTCCCGGTCATTTGGTTTCCGTCGAAAATAAAAAATTTCTATTCTCATTGCAATAATTTAAACAAAAATAAAAAACAAAAACAAAAACAAAAACTTTTTTTGTGAACAATAAGACTTTATTTATAATATCTTCATATCTAGACATAATACTATCTTTGTATAAATAATAGATGATTTTTATTTTATTTGTAATGAAAAACAAAAAAATTTTTTTTTGTAAAATATTATGAAGATTTGACTACTTTTTTGATTTTGGAGTTGAAACATGGTTTTTTTTTGAAAACGAATATTTTCTTTTTGATCTTTTATATTATGATAAAACTTACAAAAAAAAATCCACTTTACACTGCACGCGATACAACCAATTCGATATATATATGTTATAGGCAAAATTACAAGTTCGATCTCGATCGAATGAAATTAGAATTCGACTAGTACAAACATGTGTCATACTAAAAGTGGGGATGGATTGAAAGAAAATTGTAAACATAGCGATCGTACCGATAAGTAATATAAATAAAGACGTACGCATTACAAACTAATACTAAAAAAAAATGTCCGAATCAGATTTAACAATCGTCGAAATAATTAATGACGAAGCAAATGTAAACATGCGGGTAAAAGTGAAGTTAAATATATTCTCACAACCATCGTCACTCTCGGGATGCTTGTACAAATATAATGAATCGACTAAAGTGCTTTGACTTGTAAATTATTTGATGAAGTCAAAAGATATTATGGAATAAAAATATAAACATGTGAATGTAAGGATAAATTTTTTTACAATCGACTAACATGATTTTTTTTTAATAAAGTCATGAACAATTCTATATAAAACATAGAGCAGTAGAAACTAATAATTATTTATCTTATTTGTTTACTCGATACTTATCACGATCCACTGTTTACATGTTCAGTCACGCTATGTACTCAATAATCGGCTTGAAATGGATGGGATGTATAAAATCGTCACGTACAAAACAAAAGCTGAAGAACAAAGAGTGTATTTTGAACTGTTGATAAATTATTTAATAATCGAGTTTTATCTAAAGAAGATAATGCTAAGTTTACTGACGTATGATTCATTAAAAGTGTATGAAGAATATTAAAGAAAAAAGTACGAGAAGAACAAGTTTCAAGAGCTTTAAATAACTAAAAACTAGATTTGATGAAATTTCTAAGAAACTTGGCAAATTCATAAAAAAAATGGTGAGCAACAAAATGTCTAATAGTTAAATGAAGTTTTTATACAATCAGATTAATATTTAGACCAAATCATTTGTTAGCGATGTGACTTTACAAAACTAAAACACGTATATCTCGAGATAATGAACTTCTTCAAGACATCATTTTCGTATGTTATGTGCATGTCCAGTTACTCTAGATACTCTGATAAAAAGGGTGCGAGAGATCTTTGCTCAGAAGGGTTATTAATAAAAAACTAGCGTTATCTCAACGTAACACAAAAAGATGATTGACTTTCACTTTGTACAGTTTGCTTTAAAAAAAAACTCTAAATTGAGGCAGTATTTTTGAAAATCGATTTACTTTTCTTTGGTGATGTGTCGGAGTACGAAAAAATGCTCTGTATAACCAAATAAGAAGTTCAAAAAAAATTCGAAACAGTACAAATTCTTCTTCTTCAGAATCTCTTGATGATGGTAAGATAAAATTTTTGTTTTCGGGACTTCATAGAATCTCTAGAAAGCCGTTTTTTGGAGTCTGATCTTATTGAAAATTTCATCATAGAGGCAGGATTCTATCCTGAAATTTTCTGATTTCTTTCTCGTATGATTAGAGAGATATTTACTAATTACTTTTTAATTAATAGACAGCTGAAACAGCTAACATTTTTACATATGTCTATGCTAAAAGAACTTTTCAGAAAAATAATCCTTATAAAGAATCAATGTCAAATAAAAAGTCAGTATATTCCGTTTAATTTGACATAGCCTATATATATATAATGAAAAATTTCATTGATAATAATAGATATTAATTAGATGAAGTAAATTACAGTTGTCAACGAGGTTATTATCTGCCCATGTAGTACAAAATCAAGGTGCACATATCTTTCTAGGCTTTGGTTTGTTGTTTCTTTTTTTAATTTGAAATGAATAATGTAAGGGTGCAGAGCTGCCAACATAGAAAGACAATAAACACTTACCGAGAAATGACAGTTCTTAGTTTCTTTATACTTTCCTTTCTTCTTGATGATTAATTAAATAACTATGTATGAACTCAACGAAATGATAATGAATAAAACAGTGAGACAAAAAGAATCTTTATACACAGTATTATTGATTATCTTTTATTATAAAATTCTAAACATAGTAATAAAGAATACATACATAATACAAAGATAAAAGTAGATTATAAGACAGAAAAGTTCGTTATAAAACTAAACAATACCAATTGCAAATTTATTCTTCAGTAGAATATTATTTTTCTATAAAAATCATTTGAAAACATTTTCCCGCTTTTCAAACAAATTAATTTTTCTTATTGTTGAATATTAATTATGTTACATTCATCTATTCATAATTTAAATTCTAATAATAAAATCCCGCAATATTATCTTTCAATTAATAATAATTATACATGTAATAGATCTTCATCATCATTAAGTTTATCATCTATTTCTTCAACTTTACTTAATCAATCTAAAAACATATTGAAAGTAGGTCATAACAAGTGATCGAACAGTTTTTAGACAAAATGTTTGTTCATTTTTAATCCGCTAGAAAGTATTTCCAGTGGGTCAATTCGAATATAAACTTAGAAATTTCATCTCAGTTTTTTTTTGAGACTGGTAAAATCATTTCTGAAACGTTCAATAACAATGGGTTGGATAGAAAAGTTTTGTATTTTAGTTATTGTAATTCAAAACTTTATTTTATATAGATCAGATTGTGGAGGAGAAGCTACCCTACAAACTGCACTATTTGAAGTTTTGTTTTGTCTTTTGACAAGGTATCTGAATTTTTTTAAATACTCATTTTTGAAAAATCAACAATCGTTTTACGTTGAAAGGAGCTCTTGAAAATGTGTTTAGATAAAAGTTACACCTTACATTTTGTAGAGAAATCTCGCTTTACAAAATGGTTGACTTCGACAATTGTTAGCATGTTTGAAAAATGACTTATATGGAAAACAAAAACTTATTGGTTGGCCATTGAAAATAATTTTTCAGATCTATTAAAAAGTTTTTCACTACTGTTGAACAAAAACTTTTACTAAGCTCGTATTCAAATCCTATAGTTTTTGTCTCGTCGGAAATATTTTCTAGCAGATTGAAACTGAATGAACATTTTATCTACATGCTTTCTGATCGCGACAATAATTCAATGTATCTCTATATCATGTTTAGATAATTACACCTTGTAAAAAAACAGATTCATTATCTTCATTATCAACAACATCCTTGTCTTCATCAATGACTATAATTCTTCATACATTACATAAGAGAAATCAACGACATGAAAAATATCATCATCATCATCATCATCATCATCGAAAAAAATTCTTCAATAAAACTCATTCACGATATCAAAATAATAATACTAGTTCATCATCGATTTTATTATCTCGATTAATAAATATAAAAAAACCAACAAAACAATTATTGAATGAATCAATTTGTTTACAAACTCAAAAACAAGTTATTGAAAATAATTTGAATTCATAATTCAATTTTATATATTTTAGAATAAATTAAATTCAAATCAATATTCAATATCAAAATATAATGAAGAATTATTTATACCTAGTGAATCATATCAATATAATAAAAAAATCTTATTAAAAAGTAATTCTTTTTGATAAAAATTCAATTGATTATTATTTAAAACAAAACAAAAAATTTATTTATTAGAAAAATCACATCAAATTTTCGAAAAAGAAAAAACAACTTCATTTCATAGTAATAATTCATTATCAAATAGTATTTCTGATTTCGATGAAATGCATACTGAGAAAAACATTAAAAATTTCAATTATCATCAAAGTAATCAATTTCCAGTTCTTTTTTTATTGTTTCGATAACTAGATTTAAAAAGAAAATTTCAAATATTTTAGAACATATATCAACTATAGGTACACAAACAGATAATTATTCATCAATTCGACAACAATATCAATATGGAAATTTACGACGAGTTAATAGTGATTTACTAGATTATATTTTCATTCCTATTTCAAATGTATCCATTGAAAACAATTGTATATATCCAATGAACTCAAACACAGATCATTATTGGTCGTAATATTTTGTGCAGTTTTAAAAACTCATTTCAATTCTTGTTATTAAATTCAACATTAAAATTTTTCATAAAGTTACAGCTGAAAATAATCGATCGACATTTGATTTATTTTTGTAGTTCACTGTTATCTAAAGAGAATGATAAAAGAAAAAACAATACAGTCACATTTACTATGCATACATATATATATACTATAGATTATTTTATCTTCACATGTGCGTGCAAACAAGATTATAGACTTGTTATTTATAGCGAACAAAAAGAAAAAGTAATGCTTTCAACAGGATATGGTGGTTTCATTGATTGTTCTTGGCATGAAATTGAACATTATTCACAACAATTAGAAAATGATTTTCAACGAATAGAAAAACTTGGCGGAGGTTAAAATTAGTTTCATTTAGTTCTTATTTTTCTTTTCTTTTCTACGATTAAATTGATTTATTATTCTTTAGGTACATATGGTGATGTATTTCGTGTTCGTCATCGAATAACTGGTGAAATATATGCTCTTAAACAAATACGAGATGAACATGAAACAAATGGAGTTCCAGCAACAGCTATTCGTGAAGCAACAATTCTAAAACAACTTAATCATTCAAATATAATTAAATTACAAGATATTTTTTTAACTAATGAACGATGTTATTTTTTACTTGAATATATGGATGAAGATTTAAAACGTTATTTAGATAGAAATCGACCATTAGATCGACAAATAATTAAAGTACAAAAAAAAAGAAGATAAAATTTTTATTTCTTATTCTATAATATTCATCATCTAGAGTTTTATGTATCAATTATTCGATGCTATATTTTATTGTCATAAACATCGTATAATTCATCGAGATATAAAACCACATAATATTTTAGTTAATCATGAAAATCAAATAAAACTATGTGATTTTGGTAGGATAATGCACATTTCGAAGTTTACTTTGTTTTTTTTTTTGTAATTAATATTTGTTCTTTTTTTTTTAATTTTAGGTCTTGCTCGTGCTTTTACTATTCCAATGAAAACTTATACACATGAAATTGTTACATTATGGTATCGAGCACCTGAAATTTTACTTGGATCATTATCATACGGAACACCTGGTTAGAATAAAAATGAATTCAATGTTTTTTTTTTTTGATTTTGTCAAACACGATATAAAAGAAATATTGAAGTATAAGAGTAAAATATTTGGAATCTCCAACTGAATGGCTACGTTGTTTGACACGTATCCACAAGATACTATGTACAAACTTCAGCACCACTAGCCATAGAATGATCCTGGACAAGTCACTAACGGCTATTTGTCTCGGATCACCTGTCAGATAGTATACTGACTACGTTGTGACATACATCTTCTCTCGTGTTTAGTTAGTGTTTATAGGAAGCTCAGGAACTCTGCGTCAGATCGGGCTATTGAATCTGCCGCTAGTGAGCATCTCATACCAGAACATAGCTGAAAGACAGAGTTATTCTTCCTTCCCAGCCACTTTGCATAGGTCGTGATAACCGTTGATATACAATCACAAGCTATATAACGTCTCGTTATAATATACGAACTATTTCCGTATTGGATTTGTGAAGGATTCAGTAAAAGAATGATGAAGAAATGGGTTTCAAAATAGATGGAATAAAACAATCTTTTTGTAATTAGTAGTCGCGGCTACACTATGTTTCACATTTTAATTCTATAGAGATTGTGCTAATAGCTTGCTTCTTATTAATTTTTAGTTGATATATGGTCAATAGGTTGTATATTTGGTGAAATGTATCAAGGTTGGTCTTTATTTCATGGTGATTCTGAAATAGATCAAATATTTCAAATATTTAAGTAAATTTTTTAATTTTTTTTTTATTTCGAAATTTAATATTTTAATTGAATAGAATATTAGGTACACCAAGTGAAGATGATTGGCCAAATATATATTTATTACCACAATTTAAATCATCATTTCCAAAATTTAAAATACAAAAAAAACAATTAAGACAAATTGTGGATAATGATGAAATAGCCTATGATTTATTTAAAGTAATAGAGAAAAAAAACATGAATAAAATCCAAATAAAAAAAATATATATATATTGATATTCTATTCTCTAGAGATTATTAGCTTGTGATCCAATGATACGTATTGCTGCTCGATATGCTTTACAGCATAGTTATTTTACTGGATGTGATCATAAAAAATCCTTATCACCAAAAATAAATACAAAAACTAATCAAATTCAATATGATGAAAATAATAATATTTTTATTTAAAACAATCATAAATAAACAAAGTATTCTTATAGTTCTATTTTAATATTCGTTCATTTGTTTCCTATCTGTGTAAATATCGTAGTGAAATTACTTTCGATCAACTTAGCACCAAATAAATATGAATTATAATTGATAATATTAAAGTTAATATCATCTTTTTCATTTTACGAACAAATATAGAAGAATTAATTCAGAAAAATCAATGATTATGTTTTATTAATATTTTATATGATTACTGACAACATTAAGTTATGTAGCTAATGAAATAGATTTCCAAAATATCATGCTTTGATTCTAAGAACATTTTAAACTTAATATTAATAAGAAAGATGTTTCATACAGAAACAAATTAATTAGATTTAGACACATACTGAGTCAAATAAAGACATTTTCTAATTAGATTTTTTTTTTCATGTTTCAGTATTATTTGTGATGAAAAATATTAATAAAACATAAATATTGAGTTTTTTAAATAAATTCTCTTATATTTATTCATACAAAAAAATCATATACACGGTTTTAAAATGCAAAAATCAATTATAAATCTATATATTTTTTGATTTGAAGTAATTCCACTACGATAGTAATATATTTTTATGTATCATTTATATTAATTTATTATATAGTTATTATAGAAAATATATGTTAAATAAAACTGATAAAGTCTGAATCTTTTAATACTGAAATACAAACAAACATTTTATTAAATAAGTCTAATATATCATTAATGCCAGACAAGATAAAAAAAATTTCAATAATATAGTGTAACAAGATTTTTGATCACTAAATTTTTCAGCATTCATTTCATATCATTATTTTTCTATAAAATATAAGTGTTGCTCCATACCGACGATAATCTCACTTTGTGGTATGTTTTTTGACTGTCAAAATTTCCGGTTTATTAACTCTTTCTCCGCCTGTTGACCATTTGTAGAACGATTTCAGAAAATAAAAGAAACAAAACGATAAGAACATTTTTTTTGACATCGCTCCATCTTTGAAATATCGAGTTTACAAAATCAATAATTTTGAAAAAATTTAAAATTTTCAAGACAAATAATTCTCTAACTATAGTCAATAGAGATTTGTCGAAATTTTCATGCGATATAAATCAGTGAAGAAGTCCACTAGTGAGTTTCAAAAGCTTCACGATATCTCGGTGAATTACACATACTAAGGTATAGAATTGGCCAAGGAGCTACTAATGGACACAATCAAGAACAAAGTTAATATATGCATTATAAACTTTCACTGATACAAAAATTGAAATAGTTTATATCGGTTCACTCCTTCTTTTATTCCATGCTTCAATAGAAAGGGATAAATTTTGCTTTTGCCCACTCAATAATGTAGTCAAAGAGAAAGAGAAATCCAAGACTTAACATGTTGTTCAATCCCGTTTTCTTGCCTACACTGTCACTAGACCAATGAAATGGTTCTACGCAAAGAAATGAACACTCAATGGATCAGACTGCATAATTGGCAAGCTAATATTCTAAAAAGTTATTTTATCAATTGCTTTTCTGAAACCGTTGTGGGGGAGTAAAAGGATTAATATATACAACGTTAAAAAAACGAAAAATGAATAATGATATCTTTCGCCATCTTTCGTCTACATTCTTATTGGTTTTATATTCTTTTCCAATTGATTTGATATCTTTCGTTTTTCATGCATAGTATGATTCTTTTACCTAGCCTTATCATATATCTCTAGGAGTGTTAGAGTGCCAAATTTCTCTCTATCTTCTTATCTATTCTTCTTCTTCTTCTTTTTCTTCTTCTCTTGATTTTTATTTCGTATTTATTTCGAATTTAGCATCATCTTAAATGCTACATTTAAAATAATGACACATAATATACCAGACAATCGTGATCTTTCTTGTTATCATGTTACTAAACATTCATGGCGTGGTAAATATAAACGTATATTTTCCATTGGTTCACATGGTATTAGTACATATGAACCATCAACACTTGGTCTTACAAATGCATGGCCATATGATCAAGTTGTATCATTAACATTATCAAAATCTTCGAATATATCTGATAAATCTCAACAATCAGTATCAAATTCATCACCAATTGCTGAGTTTATATTAACATTTCGAACAAAATCAAAAAAAAATGATACAATGCGTTTTTCAAGTGAATATCGTTCAGAAATTATAACAGATGCATTACGTTTTCAAACAATATTTTATCATCCACAACAATCATCAAATCAACCAAAAACAATTCAAGCAACAAAAATTCATTGGTCATCACAACGTCTACCTGTACTTTTACGTATTCAATCACATTGTATTGAACAAATTGATGCAAATATAAATCGTTATTTATGTTCATATGAATATAAAGATATTGAACAATTAATACCATTAACAAGTGAAGGTGATACAATTGTACGTGGATTTCTTATACAAGATAAACATTATTCACGTTTACATGCATTTATTACACCAGAAGCAACAGCATTATTTCAACAAATAATTGATTTAGCACATACAAATATAGGTGTACAAATACGTTTATCAAAAAAATCTTATACACTTAATGATTTTAATCAATTACGTTTTGGTCCAACATATATATCTGATGAACATTTAACATCATTTGCTGAATTTATTGTTTATAAATATTCATCAAGACATAATGATCCTGTTCGACGATTACTTTGTTTAACTGAAACATGTTTAATTGAACGTGATCCAGCTACATATTATATATGTACATTAAAACCATTAAATGAAA